AGTTAGCAGCAAGAAGAAGAGCGTCGTTGCCTGCTCCAGCTGTGAGGCGGAGGCTAGTTCCGCATGCAAAGAGGCCATCTGGCTTCGCCGCCTCCTCAACGACACCCGGCCCAACACCAATCTACTGTGACAATCAAGGCTACATCGCCTCGAGCAAACATCACAAGATTAATTCCCGGACGAAACACGCACCACGCTGGGAGACACGTCCAGTTCTTTCCATGTTCTTGTGATTCCAATCTCGATAATGCAATCTTAATTGAACATCACAACAGCCTGGAAATCGAGTCCACTGCTTCATCCAACCAAACAATCTGATCTCGTGCACAGCATGAAACAAACATTCTCTGTGCCTCTCCTGATAGAGCCATACAGAACCTTCTCATGTCCAGCCACTTGATTATTATATGCAGTACACTCAAATACGTCCAGGTAAATCCCGAAATCCTCTCAAAGTAGGCTAAAGGAGATACTTTGTCATCTTGCCAAAAGCCCCTTAGAGAGGGCTTGGGTGAGTTGACAAGGTGTAGTTTTGGTCTTTCCCTTGAACATTGTAAGATCATGGACCTCACTTCACTACAGTGTCACCTTTAGCCCATTACAATGCTGCATAAAGGGATCACTGCGTTTGCTCATTGTGGCGAGGGCGCAATGAGAAAGGTGACACTCCGGCCTGTGCCTACATCAGCTCCGTGAATCGCAACAAGGATTTCTTTCTTCTCGTGACAGAGGATTTTAGGATCGCGCCAGGCAGGGATCAGTTCGTCTGCATGATCGATATCTTCGGCCGTGGCAGGCAACTGGAGAATGCCGAGGAATTGCTCGTTTGTGCCGGATGCTCTGGTTTGTAGGGTTTTGGTGGCATCTTGCCGATCGCATTACGATATGTTTTGGGCATTGGATCGACATATGTCCTGGCAAATCGCTCCAAGAGCGTGTTTAAAATGGAAATTGGCGGGAAAGCGATGTGTTTGTTTTTTATTCTATCTAGCTGTGCTTACGAAAGTCTCCACTATCTAAAGGTAAGAGCTTTGGAAAAATAATTTATTTGTATATGTAACTTAGTCAAGTCAGCCTCGCAACCTTTGGAGAAACTTTCAAGTCATGCCGATGAGCTCTCTCAGCTTCTGGATGAGACCACGGTCGTCAATCTGGAACGCTTTCGCGATCACGTCGTCATTGATTGGAGGATTGGAATCAAACACCGCCTTGGCCACCTGAGTCGCCCCGGGGTTTTGGCTGTTGAAGCCAGCCATCGCAACCGCAGGCTCCTTTCCAACATTGAGCTGGAAGTGAACGAGTCCCCGAGGGAAGACGAACAGATCTCCGGGATAGAGCATTTGGGCGAAGAGCTTGTTGTCCGGCAATGTGGTGACGCTCTCTACGGGCTGAAACAAAGGCCCAGGTCATGGTACACTAAAATTAACAACTTTCTGACCTCGTTGGGCTTTACTCGTAGCACGGCTGATAATAATCTCTACATATACCGAGATGGCCAAGGATTTCTATTCTTAGCCTTATATGTGGACGATACAATAACTAGATACAACTCATCCACCACATCAAGGCCTCTCTCGCTGCTAGATTTGAGATGACGGATCTGGGAAACTTGCACTGATAAGCAATGTGGAGTACTTGAGCTCTCCTAAATACATCCATGACATAAAAGCTTTGGACAACTTTGAGCCTACTTCCATAGGAGTAGCCACCGGATTAGCGTTAAGCATAGAATACCTCTGGAGAAGTTTGACATCAACCTCTGATGACACTCCCGAGGAGGAGACCACAACACTGTACCGTTCAGTGGTCGGGAGCCTCATCTACTTGATGGTCTCAACTAAGCTTGACCTCGCATTCAATGTGGGAGCAGTCTCAAAGTTCCTGGACAATCCATCACCCTCACATTGAGCCGTTGTGAAGCAGATCATGAGGTATATGAGTGGCACAAGGAAATTCACACTAAAATATGCAAGAGGAGATGGAGACAACGGCCTGGTGGGATTCACAGATGTAGACTGGGCAGGAGATCCAGATGACAAAAGATCCACCTCAGGGTATGTCTTCATGTATAACCATCACATGGTTAGTTAGTGTTCCAAGAGGCAATAGATCACTACGATGTTCTCATGCAAATCTGAATACATCACAGCTGCAGCAGCAGCGAAAGAGGCCATCTGGCTTAAGACATTGCTGCAGGACCTCGGGATTCAAATTCCAGCAGTCAAACTCTACTGTGACAATATGTCGGCAATAGCATTGACTCGGGATGTGAGATTTGAATCCGTTTCAGCATTCTGGCACCCCTGCAAGCTTGAGACTTCAGTATATAGAGAAGGGAAAAAAATTTGCAAACCTCTTCGTCACTTTTGCAAGCCGAGCTGTGTGTCTTGGCCGGTTGTGGGAGGGAAACAGCCGATTCATCGAAAGTAACATGCGTTGACTCTTCGGGCGCTTCAAGAGATAGAGAGATCAGCAACACCTCACCAAAAATTCCAAGCTACATTCTTACCTCGTGTACTTAAAGAAGGAGAGGACGTTGTGAGCCATGATCTGCGGTAAACTTGCGTGATTAGTGCTTGGATCTTATTTTCTTTCCTCGCAGAGAGTTGATTCCACTGGTGGACAAGGCATGGGTTATGGATATGGGTGGGACTTTGGTTGAGCAGCTAAATTCTACTCTCTAGTTCGTGGAATGTTACTCTTAAGATAAAACTATACACTGACCGATCAAACCAGTGAGGCTGACTGGGCAGTTAAACGTTTTTAATATTGCAACGGACTTTGCAGGCTCAACTCACAACAGCGGAAGGGCTCCTCGAACCAGGCAGCAGCAGAGGACATCCACATGACTAATAATGCCTCTCAACTCTACATTATTAACAGCACTACACAATTGGGCACCATAGATGGAACAGGAGTAGTACAAACGATTACATCTTGGTCAGCCAAACTATTCTTTAATAATGTGGTGTATTGTTTAGATTTTTCCTTGACAAAATGGTGAATGAAAGTTAGCCATTGATATTTTTTCTTTGTTTCTTTGCAATGGCAGGGAATTCCAAGAGTTCTTGACCGCCTCATGTCTGACTAGGATGCATATGCTACTTACAACACTCCTATCAACAACCAGAATCACGACCAAGTCATGCCAGCATGGGTGCCCGACTTTGCCCAACAAGTCCAAGAGCTTTAGAATGCACTGCCCACGACCACTGATACTGAGGTCAGCTGACTGATTGACATGCTCACACAGCAGCATAGGAGTATCTCTCAGTTCACTCCCACCACCCCAACTGGATGCTTTCCTAGATTGCACTGGTGGGACAAATTATAAAACTTTTTAATATCATAAGTTTATTGCATTAAACTAATTAATAAAGTGGCAGCAATAAACATTCTATTTTGCCCATGACAATGATGCAAGCAATAATCACAATGACTAAGACTATGTATGTCTCATGACTATGTGAGCAACCATCCTTCTAACAACACAGTTGTCTGCAAAATTGATAACCTACATAGACGTACCTTTGGTCAGTATACCCATGGTTTATTTGTATCAGCAATGGACCTACACAATCCATAATAATTCCGTTAAAACTCTGGTGCCAAGCAATTTAGTGTCAAGTTTTTACCAAGACCGTGTAAAACTCGAGTTTCACTGAGACCAGTTCTTACCATCAAAACCAAGGTCGTCATCATCTACACACAGAAAAGATGATTTTGACGGCTCTAGACAAGCCCGGTAAAAGAAAACTTCCGAGACGACTTGGCAGCAAACAAATCAGATTGTGTTACGCGGACAGCAAGAGTAAAAAAATGAAATAGAAGGGAAGAGAAGACCGTGTACCTAAAATCGTGCACGATTCACGACGAAGTCATCCAAAGGACCTCGCCTCCCCTCCTCCGGCTATAAAATGCCTGCCCCTCCCTCATATAGCTCCATCAGTCTTTTCCAAGCTCGCAAGATGGCTCATCTTCGTTTTGTTCTATCCTTCCTCCTAGCAATCAGCTCCATCTTGTTTGTGCATGCCGCGGATGAAGATATGCTGCAGGACTTTTGCGTTGCAGACAATGGCTCCAAGATCAAAGTGAACGGCGTGGTCTGCAAGGCGGCCGCCGATGTGAAAGCCGAGGACTTCAAGTCGAGCCTGCTGGCAACTCCCGGGAACACCGACAACAAGCTCGGCTCCAACGTCACGCTGGCGAGTGTCAACAATTTCCCCGGTCTCAACACCTTTGGTGTAGCTTTTGCCCGCGTCGACTATGCTCCTGGCGGCACCAATCCCCCCCACGTCCATCCCCGAGGATCCGAGCTGCTCTTCCTCGTGCACGGGAACCTCTTAGTCGGATTCGTCACCACCTTGCCGGACAACAAGCTCTTCGCCCAAATGCTCTATCCTGGAGATCTGTTCGTCTTCCCTCGGGGACTCGTCCACTTTCAGCTTAACGTTGGAAAGGAGCCTGCGGTTGCGATGGCTGGCTTCAACAGCCAAAACCCCGGGGCGACTCAGGTGGCCAAGGCGGTGTTTGATTCCAATCCTCCAATCAACGACGACGTGATCGCGAAAGCGTTCCAGATTGACGACCGTGGTCTCATCCAGAAGTTGAGAGAGCTCATCGGCATGACTTGAAAGTTTCTCCAAAGGTTGCGAGGCTGACTTGACTAAGTTACATATATAAATAAATTATTTTTCCAAAGCTCTTACCTTTCGGAAACTTTCGTAAGCACAGCTAGATAGAATAAAAAACAAACACATCGCTTTCCCGCCAATTTCCATTTTAAACACGCTCCTGGAGCGATTTGCCAGGACATATGTCGATCCAATGCCCGAAATATATCGTAATGCGATCGGCAAGATGCCACCAAAACCCTACAAACCAGAGCATCCGGCACAAACGGCATGGCACGCAGCAATTCCTTGGCATTCTCCAGTTAGCTGTGCCTGGTGCGATCCTAAAATCCCCTGTCACGAGAAGAAAGAAATCCTTGATGCGATTCACGGAGCTGATGTAGGCGCAGGCCGGAGTGTCACCTTCCACGCTCCCATCCGGGACTTTCTCGCCCTCGCCACAATGAGCAAACGCAGTGATCCCTTTATGCAGCATTGTAATGGGCTAAAGGTGACACTGTAGTGAAGTGAGGTCCATGATCTTACAATGTTCAAGGGAAAGACCAAAACTACACCTTGCCAACTCACCCAAGCCCTCTCTAACCCTCAAGCATGTGTTAGAAGAGGCTTTTGGCAAGCTGAGAAAATATCTCCTTTAGCCTAGTGCGTGTTTTGTCCGGGAATTAATCTTGTGATGTTTGCTCGAGGCAATGTAGCTTTGATTGTCACAGTAGATTGGTGTTGGGCCGGGTGTCGTTGAGGAGGAGGTGGCGAAGCCAGATGGCCTCTTTGCATGCGGAACTAGCCTCCGCCTCACAGCTGGAGCAGGCAACGACGCTCTTCTTCTTGCTGTCAATTGCATTGTGAAGGCTAAACAATATAGCCAAAGCCAGCCCAGTAAGCTTGACTCGTGGCCTTAAGACTGTAAGGAAACATATCTCGTAAGACACGTTTAAGTGCTTGCCAATGTTGAGGTCCAGGATTGTCAAGTTCTTGCACAAAGTGGAATTCAAATGGATTAGCGCACCTTCCATGGCGTCCATATCCCCTCTAAAACTAGAAAAAAACTCACTTCAACAAGCGAACGAGGCATTTTCCTAGGCTATAGCATTGGCTTACAAAGTCTACAATCCTGTCTCCAAGACGCTGATCATCTCACCAGACGTGCATTTCAATGAGACTGCATCACGTCAAGTGGGAGAAAATCTGCCTTTGCCAGTGCTGCCCACTTCCCTCTGCAGCCTGCTCTAGCACCACCGGCTCTTGTCCCTCCTGCCCTGCCCGGCCCTCAAGCCATGCCCAATCCGAACGACCTGCGAATCTTCGAGACTCACTGCAGCCGCTCCTCTTTGCAGATCTTCTCGCCAGAACAAGGGCAAGCCACCACCACGGCTGATTGCTCGCAGCTGTACACGACATCCCTGAAAGTTTTGTGGAGACTTTACTTGCTGGAGTGGAACTTCTGGGAATTCCAAGCGGCTCTCAAGTCTCTTGAAGTTGACAGGGAAAAATGGAAAGTTGCCTTTATCATTCCCCACACCTTGGTGAGACGTCCCCTCCTGGACGCATGCTGGGTGTGTGACTGTAATGGGAGGGAGCGGAGGTGCGAAAGAATGGGAAAAGAAGTGGAGGTGAAGGATTTGGAGGAGAATTCGCCGCCAGATGGAAAGAGCCTGACGTGTCTCCTTGCGTGACGTGTCAGCCACGTGGCTGTCCGCCTCTTCAATCATGATCGTGGTTGTCCTCGGAAGGGCCGGAGGGTGGCGTGGGCTGACCCTGGATGAGCATTCTCCGGGAGGTCCTTTCGAGAAGAGTGTGGATCTTGTTAGCAACAGGAAGGCGCAATTCGAAATTGAAAAGCTCGGCCTGTTGGCTCATCACCAAAAATGAGCCTGGCCTGGAACAATCGATATTGCCGCTGATCATGATCACCAATGTGATGGCAAGAAGTATCCTTCCACGATCCATTCCAGCCACAAAAGCACTAAACGTAGTGATGATATCGTTGTATAAGAACCAAGAGCTGTGCTTGCTCTGCTACGATTGGATCCAATGGGCCTCCAGTGTTTTATATTCATTCACATAGAAAGTTCTCCACCGGGCTTGGTAAACAGTCAAGTCCTTTGCACGTGCCATCTGTCAAAACAAGACTCGTTAGCTTCCAAGCCAGAACACTCTACGAGCAGTTTTTCAAAGTCCTGCACAAA